CTCGACAGCTGGGCAGAGCTCGGTTCCACTCGGGTCTGTTGGTGCCGCCCATCACACAGGTGAGGCTGGAGTAACCCGTCAGCTGGTATCCCGGGTCACAGTGGAAGGTCACAGTGGAGCCCAGCTTATAGTCTCCGCCCAGCCGAGTGCCGTTCATCACACTGCCCGGGTCGAAGCAGGCCTCGCGCAGTTTAGCTGACGGGAGAGAACACAAGACATAAGGCGTACGATGATAAAGCTGTCGCAGATCAGAGGATCTGAAGGGAAGAAATGCCAAGCGGAAACCTTTGAAACTTTCCAGATCACGGTCAAGCATCTTGAAATAGTATATCATGACAATCTTAAAGTCAACATGAAATCAGAATGGACAAATCTTTTCTTTTTTCGTTTTTTTATGGAAAATCACAGTTTTCATTATGAATAAAATATTTATTAAATGCATTTAAATTCATGTTCCTGGTAATCTTCAATCGGAATAAGCGACATCTCTTCTCTTCTATGATGATCTGGGCGGGGCTTTAACCTGTCACTCACATGAGATCAGCCAATAGCAAACCACAACCATCCAATCAATTCTCCACAGACACATCAAGCCCCGCCCACTCCAGAAGCGTTTCACTCAGATATACGACACAATAGAGGATGAATAGACTGACTTTTAACTCTTTCCCCGCCGACTTTTTATTTTTTATGTCTCCAGCTAGGGTCAGGATTTTTTATTGTATGAATATGTAAACAGTCAATATCTCAAAAGAAAGAACAGAGCCTGTGCTTTCAAACAAACAAACAAACAAAACACTTGAATGTGGGGAAAATTCATAAAAACAACATTTCGATCAAAAACTGAGAAAATCGTGTTTTCTGCCAAATACTTCATCCAGATGGGATTCAGAACGACGATCGAAACACAGATGGAGAGATCAAGTCCATCAAAGCTTCACAGTCGTTTCCTCTTCATGGGTTCGACACTTCCTTCACTAACATTGGGCTGTTTTGATTTATGTGCTGTTTAATGTTTGATGATCACGAGCGCAATCATACAAACTTCTATCCACTCTTTTGCTGCGTCTCAATTCGCCTACTTGTACTACGCCCTAAAATTATGCACTCTTTCTGTGAAGAAAAAGTAGATACTTATGAGTGTGTAGCAGCAGAAGAGTAGACAGGCTTTGAGACACACTATCCCGTCATACAATTGTGTCTTTAACGGTTGCTCTCTTTCACAGTAAACTGACCTGTCAATCATCTCGTCACAGTAAACTGACCTGTCAATCATCTCGTCACAGTAAACTGACCTGTCAATCGTCTCGTCACAGTAAACTGACCTGTCAATCGTCTCGTCACAGTAAACTGACCTGTCAATCGTCTCGTCACAGTAAACTGACCTGTCAATCGTCTCGTCACAGTAAACTGACCTGTCAATCGTCTCGTCACAGTAAACTGACCTGTCAATCGTCTCGTCACAGTAAACTGACCTGTCAATCGTCTCGTCACAGTAAACTGACCTGTCAATCGCCTCGTCACAGTAAACTGACCTGTCAATCATCTCGTCACAGTAAACTGACCTGTCAATCGTCTCGTCACAGTAAACTGACCTGTCAATCATCTCGTCACAGTAAACTGACCTGTCAATCGTCTCGTCACAGTAAACTGACCTGTCAATCATCTCGTCACAGTAAACTGACCTGTCAATCATCTCGTCACAGTAAACTGACCTGTCAATCATCTCGTCACAGTAAACTGACCTGTCAATCGTCTCTGTCAATCGTCTCGTCACAGTAAACTGACCTGTCAATCGTCTCTGTCAATCGCCTCGTCACAGTAAACTGACCTGTCAATCGTCTCTGTCAATCGTCTCGTCACAGTAAACTGACCTGTCAATCGTCTCGTCACAGTAAACTGACCTGTCAATCGTCTCTGTCAATCGCCTCGTCACAGTAAACTGACCTGTCAATCGTCTCGTCACAGTAAACTGACCTGTCAATCGTCTCTGTCAATCGCCTCGTCACAGTAAACTGACCTGTCAATCATCTCGTCACAGTAAACTGACCTGTCAATCGCCTCGTCACAGTAAACTGACCTGTCAATCATCTCGTCACAGTAAACTGACCTGTCAATCATCTCGTCACAGTAAACTGACCTGTCAATCATCTCGTCACAGTAAACTGACCTGTCAATCGTCTCTGTCAATCATCTCGTCACAGTAAACTGACCTGTCAATCGTCTCTGTCAATCGTCTCTGTCAATCGTCTCGTCACAGTAAACTGACCTGTCAATCGTCTCGTCACAGTAAACTGACCTGTCAATCGTCTCGTCACAGTAAACTGACCTGTCACAGTAAACTGACCTGTCAATCGTCTCTGTCAATCATCTCGTCACAGTAAACTGACCTGTCAATCGTCTCTGTCAATCGTCTCTGTCAATCGTCTCGTCACAGTAAACTGACCTGTCAATCGTCTCGTCACAGTAAACTGACCTGTCAATCGTCTCGTCACAGTAAACTGACCTGTCAATCGTCTCGTCACAGTAAACTGACCTGTCAATCGTCTCGTCACAGTAAACTGACCTGTCAATCGTCTCGTCACAGTAAACTGACCTGTCAATCGTCTCGTCACAGTAAACTGACCTGTCAATCATCTCGTCACAGTAAACTGACCTGTCAATCGTCTCGTCACAGTAAACTGACCTGTCAATCGTCTCGTCACAGTAAACTGACCTGTCAATCGTCTCTGTCAATCGTCTCGTCACAGTAAACTGACCTGTCAATCGTCTCGTCACAGTAAACTGACCTGTCAATCGTCTCGTCACAGTAAACTGACCTGTCAATCGTCTCGTCACAGTAAACTGACCTGTCAATCGTCTCGTCACAGTAAACTGACCTGTCAATCGTCTCGTCACAGTAAACTGACCTGTCAATCGTCTCGTCACAGTAAACTGACCTGTCAATCGTCTCGTCACAGTAAACTGACCTGTCAATCGTCTCGTCACAGTAAACTGACCTGTCAATCGTCTCGTCACAGTAAACTGACCTGTCAATCGTCTCGTCACAATAAACTGACCTGTCAATCATCTCGTCACAGTAAAAATCCTCCACATTTAATTTAATTTAATTTCCTACTGTATCGGACAGAAATGCAGAAGCTCGATGATCTTTCACGCGGAGACTCTCCTCATATTAATGCAGAAAGATGCATTTAGAAGTTAATGGCCAAACGGATCTTTATAAAAGTCCACATTATTGCAGATGAAATATAACACGAATAACATTCAATAAATATTTTTTTTATCAGGTTAAACTTTGATTAGTCACTCAAGCCTTTCTCTAAACCTCTCACCGTCGGTCGCGCATGTCCGCCATGTTTGTAGTTTTTTTTTTTAAATTTTACTCGTGTTTGTAGTTCCTCTTGCAAAAAGCAAAGGATCATGGGTAATGTTAGCCGTTATAGTGAGCACGGATCCACACTTCGAAAATCCACCGAAAATAGTAGATGCTTTGGGACACACTTATTTTAATCTCACACACTGTTTAGGATGGACAGTGTGAACATTGAGCTTCTGGTTTATGCAGATCTTCTTCTTCGCATGTTTTGGATCCAGAGATGTTGTACTATTTCAGAAGATCCGTAACAGTATAACAGTGAAAACACGGATCGCCGGAACAACTGGCGGGGAAAGAGTCAAAGGAGCCGATCACCTAAAGATGAACACTTTTACACACACTCATGTCGTCCCAATCAACAGAAATCAATAAGTGCATCGCTCAAGAACACAAATCTTTACAGCAGGCCGAGAGCAGAGCGCACGTACCCTTGTATTCGAGATGGAAGCCGGTGTAGCTCACGGACCCGTCGCTGCGGAAGGCGATGTGCATGATGTTCGAGCTGCTTTCTACCTTCTCCGGCAACTTGCTGTCTTGAAATGTGCCGATCAGATGACTGTTGCTGTGAGGCCCGTCGTACAGGTACAAGAAGTCATAGTTGGGCTCAATGCTAAAACTGAGAGAGGAAGCGTACAGATTACAGCCAAAACACAATTTACAGGACGATCTATTGACTTTCCCAAACACTAATGAAAATACTGTCAAGATGTCATTGCAAATCATTGGCGGTCGATAAAAAAAAAGAAGAAAACGTCAGAAAAGTAAGACTTTAGAAGACTATATGCGAAGGAATATAGTCACATAAACAACTTAGATATGGTTTTTTAAAGGTGACATATTATACCTATTTTCACAAGATGTGATATAAATCTATGGTTTCACTAAAAAGTGTGTGAAGTTTCAACTCAAAATTCCAGATAATTTATTACAGCTCGTCAAATTTTCCCCTTTTTGTGTGTGAGCAAAAACACGCCGTTTTTGTGTGTGTCTCTTTAAATGCAAATGAGCTTTAGCTCCGCCTCCGTTCAGAAGAGGGCGGAGCTTCAGAGACTCCGGCAATAACAACACAGGCCAATCTCACTGATCCAGAGTCAGGAGTAACAGCAGCGAGTGCAGCCTTACGGAGAGACTCAGGGAGAGCTTCACTTTTACACGTTTCTGAATGTTAGCGGAGACATTTCTGTAGTTGTTGTGGAGTTACACTGATCATCTCCTCATCATGTTGAACTCTTCCACAAGTGTCCACAGTTCCTGAGGTGTTTATAAGACAGCGCTGACATGTTCTGGTCAATAGTGTTCAGTGTCGTCTGTGCTCGACCACAGAACAGTTTCAGGCTTTGCTGGATCTTCTCCAGTGCGTTAGAACTGGTCTCTGTTGGCGCTCGCCGAACCCAATGTCGCTGGTGTGTGTGAACGTGCAGATTAAGGGCCGGGAATATTATAATAACATCCTCTTCATACGGCAGAATCTGATCGGCTTATTTTATAACACACAGTAACAAAGTTACTGGGTTTCACTGTGTCTGTGTTGGTCGATGCACCCGATTATAGCACTTACACACGGGGAAAGTCAGATTTTCATGATATGTCCCGTTTGATGTACATTTTGCAGTTTTATTAATGTCACCACAAGCTGACGAATGAATCACAGCTGTGTGAAGGGTAGTGTTTTCCCTTTGTGTACCACAGAAGAAATAGCAGCATACGAGTTTGAAATGACATGAGAGTGAGCAAATAATGACAGTACTTTCATTTTTTTTGCATGAACTAGCCCTTTAAATCTCGCTGCGGAAATGCAGAAGGCTTATAGAGTGTGTAAAACAGGAAAGAGAAAACATGAACATTTATCAAGTGCTTGTTGACAACATCACAAGCTTTCACAGAGCGGGCCTGTGCTCTTCCTAAAAGACCTGTGGGTCATCAGAGGCAGAACATGTGCTGAAGAGCCTTTCTGTGTGTTTCAGGTGCGGAGATATTATGATGATGTGGGTGTAAAATGCTCATAAATGGCACAGCGACGCTTTGGGAATGTAGTCAGAAATGCTGCGCTTCACATTAAGCACCGCAACGAGAGCAGACGGTCGCACTCATGTCCTTATGAAGATCTGTTTACTGTCCCAAAACTGCACCAACAATACGTTTTGTTAATACTGTAATAATGTCACTGTGACTCATCTCATCTATCTTGAGAAATCTTTTCCCAATTACCATGCTGATAAAAACACAATTACAAGTCATATGTTAATTTGAAATTAATTGGGTCTTTGGTGCACAGATCACAGTCTGATATCAATATCATATTCCAATTTTCAGTCGAAGATGGAAGCAGTTATGGGTCAGTGGTGTGACACTGATTTTATATGTTTGGGATGTAATAATTTATTCAAAGATGCATTAAAAATGCAAATCACACTGACAATGACTTGAATACATCTCATCTATGAATAACCTGTTCAAAATTTGATATTTTTTGTGGGACAAAGTCAAAAATGTGTATGTGGCGTATCCATCTTCAGATTGTAATGAATACATAAAAAGTCTTAAACTTAAGGTTATGAGTTGTGAAATCAATATATATAGTAATGTTTAGAGTACCGGTCAAAAGTTTGGAAACATTACTATTTTTAATGTTTTTGAAAGAAATTTGATCAAAAATACAGAAGAAACTGTAATATTGTGATATATTATTGCAATTTAAAATAATGGTTTTCTGTTTTAATATACTTTAAAATATAATTTATTAAATCATTTTCAGCATCATTACTCCAGTCTTCAGTGTCACATGATCCTTCATTCTAACATGATGATTTATTATCAATGTTGGAAACGGTTTTAGCGCTTAATATTTTTTTGGATACTCTTTTCAGGATTCTTTTAAACAGCATTTATTTAAAACAGAAATATAATGTCTTTACTATCACTTTTTATCAAGTTGACACATTCCTTGCTGAATAAAAGGATTAATTTCTTTCAAAAAAAAAGACTGACCCCAAACTTTTCAACGATAGTGTAAATTGTTGCAAAAGATTTATAATTTTAAATAAATGCTGTGCTTTTTTAACATCAAAGAATCCTGAAAATAGTATCACAGGTTATAAAAAAAGTCCAACATTGATAATAAATCCTCATATTAGAGTGATTTCTGAAGGATCATGTGACACTGAAGACTGGAGTAATGATGCTGGAAATTCAGCTTTGATCACAGGAATAAATTACACTTTACAGTATATTAAAACAGAAAACCATTATTTTAAATTGTACTAATATTTCACAATATTAAAAGTGTTTGATGAGCATAAGAGACTTCTTTAAAAACATTAAAAATAGTAATGTTTTCAAACTTTTGAACAAAATACTTGATGTTTGCAACACTTAGTAGAATAAACTCTAGAGTAATTACATTTCCTCTGTTATATTTGACATCAATAATGCACTTGGTTTTCATAATGTCCTTTGATTAGTTAAGATGGTACCTGATAAAAGCCAAGGAGATGACGTAGTCAGGGTGAACCGTGATGAACCAGTCGCAGTCTTTGCTGTGTGGGTACGGGTGGGGGAAGTTAGGGGACAGAATGAACCCCGACGAGCCGGTGATGTTTCCTCCACACGGAGCTGCAAATAAAGCGTTAATAAAGTTTAGTCTTTTTCCCCTCCCTAAAGTCATTTTATCTCCATAAATCTCACTACGTTGGCTGATTTATCATTCAGTGACAGTCATTTAAAAAAAAAAAGGGTAACACTTTATTTTACAGTGTCCTACTGTAAAAAATAATCCTGTAAAAAAACGGTAAACTACTGGGAGCTGTGGTTGCCAGCATCATACCGTAAAAATACAGTGTGTAACTGTTTTTAAAATTAACAGCTAAATACCGTTTTGTCAGCTACAGCTATATGCTGTCAAATTACAGTTTTATACTGTACCTTACAAAACGGTATTTAGCTGTTAATTTCAGCGTATATTTACGGTATGATGCTGGCAACCACAGCTGCCACTAGTTTACCGTTTTTTTTTTTACAGGATTATTTTTTTTACAGTGCACATGTATTTACCGTAGTAACAACAGTAAATTATGCATAATTACATGCAACTAACCCTCAACCAAATCCTAATCCTACCATAACCCTATAGTAAGTACATGTAGTTCATAATATTACTCAGTATTTAAATGTATAATTACACTGTAACAATGACACCTTCAAATAAAGTGTAACCAAAAGAAAATGCAAATCACATCATTAATATTCATGAGCAAAGCTGATAAGTGCCCAACTGTTCTTAAGCTCCAGGTATGGCTTTAAACCGGATTGACCTTTAAAACGTCTAAATGTGACTCAAACTTTAGAAAATAGATCCACAAAATAAACGTAGCATCCTAGAAGCATTTGTCACGGGAAGTCGGGAAGTCTTCATCCCAGTTTCCCATGACCCAGAAGAGTAAGCGCTGACTGGCATACAATCAGACATTTCCATCAAAGAAAAAGGTTTTGGTTTGACTGTAGTTACTTAATATTACTCAGTACTTCAATGTATAATTTCACTGTAACAATGACACCTTCAAGTAAAGTGTAACCAAAAGAAAATGCAAATCACATCATTAATATTCATGAGCAAAGCTGAAAAGTGCCCAACTGTTCTTAAGCTCCAGGGGCCGGTTGCATAAACACAGATATTATGTTAAAACCATGTCTTAAGTTAGAGTACGATCCACTAGCCGTTAGTCAGGGGCAGTCAGTCTTACTTTTCAATATCAAATTAGGCTAATCTACATTTTTATGCAACTGATTTAAAAAAGCTATGAACAGTTTTAAAGAAAAAAAAAGAAAAGATGTCTAACCTGTCAGACTAGTCTTAGTGGTTTATGCAAGCAGCTCCATGTGTGGCTTCAAACCGGATTGACCTTTAACCTGTTAACTGTCACCCCCCGTTTTTTTGCATAGACATAAAGATCACTATCTCCAGATTATTGTAGAAGTCTAGAAATTATAAAAAATGAAACAGAAAAAAAGTTATATAAGTTTGAGTTTATGAAATTGTGTAGTGTAAAAATATAATTATTAATATTTTATATAAAATATATATATTACAAAATATATTTTACTCTAAAACTGCAAGAAAATTAAAGACAAAAATCTGAACAAGTTGTATTCCAAATTTTAGGTTGATATCTCAAAAAATGAGCTTCCATTGAGATTTTATTCGGGCGCAGTACCCAACTTTTCCACTAGGTGAACACCAGACTCCATTACTGCCCATATAAGGGCGCCTCCATTTTCATATATGTTTTGAGGGATCTGAACCATGTATTTCCATAATTTTCATACAATTTATGAAGTAGACATCCTATTCAGAAGTAGTATGGGTGGTTTGTCAGTATTTGATTTGAATTCAACCTCTAATAAATGCATAAAAAGACTACATTATAGCGTCATAGCTCGCAGCCGCATCACAAATCGAGAATCCATACATTTTTCTTTATATTTAAAACATTTTCAGACCTTTTTTTCTCATAAAATGGAATTGGTGTTATCTTTTGAACTCATGGCATGAAAACAAACTGAGGTTTCTACCAATCTTTCATGATTTTTCATATTTCAAAATAAAGGCCTAAATACTCCTAATGAATATGAAATATTCTTGTTGCAAATTGATAAATTACTGCTCCTCTGTAATGTATTTTAGATAACAGCCACCAAATATGAAAACTAGAGATTTTAAGCTTTCAAATGATATATAGTTTGGCAATATTACTTTAGGTTTTTACTAAGATATTATTGTTTTAAACATGCAATGGCAAATGGGCCCGCCGGCGGGTGACAGGTTAAGAGGTTAAAATGTCTAAATGTGATTCAAACTTAAGAAAATAGGTCCACAAAATAAATGTAGTATCCCAGAAGCATTTATCACGGGAAGTCGGGAAGCCTTCACCCCAGTTTCCCATGACCCAGAAGAGTAAGCGCTGACTGGGCACGCGATCAGAAATCTCCCTCAGAGAGATTCATCATTACAGAGTCATTTCTTCTAGTTACTTGAGTCATTTCGTCAGAGCTGACAGGCGTGAAATGAAATCTCACCGATGCAGGTGGGAGGACTGGGTTGCCAGAAGAACCGGTTGTCCACCTGAATGCAGGAGATCCTGGGTTCTCCTTGCAGGTCGTATCCCGGATCACACGCGAAGCTCACGGTGTCTCCCGGCTCCTTCCCGTCTCCGCTGCGACTCCCGTTCATCGGCGTTCCCGGATCCCGGCAGGCCGTCGCCACCGAACCTGCAAAGAGCAGTGACCAGCTGTGCTGACTTCCACTTACTGGGAAACCTCAGCAGGAGGGAGCGTGTCCCGCTCGGAGAAGAGGTCGCACGGCCTCGGGAACGAGCACAATGTCTCACCGGGGGAGCAGAACACGAGCTAACGCGAGGAAACGTCTGAGCTACAGCGCAACTGAACAATCACTCGCTAATGGATGCGGTTTGTATGCATTTACTTCGAAATGGCAGAGGGATCATTATTCTGGGCAGGCAATTACATTCAGAAGTTTGGGAACAAAAGTGACAGTAAAGACATACATGATGTCTATTTCAAATAAACGCTGAAACTTTCTATTCATCGAAGAATCCTGAAAATAAAATCTGTCACGGTGTCCAGTTTCCATGCAAATATGAAGCAGCTCAACCGTTTTTAACATTGATAATAATAATAATCATAAATGTTTCTTGAGCATCAGATCATCATATTAGAGTGATTTCTGAAGGATCATGTGACACTGAAGACTGAAGTAATGATGCTGGAAATTCAGCTTTGATCACAGGAATAAATTACACTTTACTGTATATTCACATAGAAAACAGCTGTTTTATATTATAATAATATTTAGCAATTTTTGCAGAATTTTTAATCAAGTAGATGCAGCCTTGCCAACCCCAAACTTTTCGAAAAACTTCTGAAATATTTATTTATATGCACCAATGTAACTTCATAATAATAAACAGCAACATGTATGTTCATACAGTATAAAATATTTAGAAGCAATTCATTTACAGGTGAAACTAATACATTATATAGACTCATTACATGCAAAGTGAGATATTCCAAGCCTTTATTTGTTATAATGTTGATCATCAACATTATAACAAATAAAGGCTTGGAATATCTCACTTTGCACGTAATGAGTCAATATGATATATTAGTTTCACCTTTTAAAGGGATAGTTCATTTTGGAATTAATTTTTGGGTATGTTTTAGCTTACCTCGAGGGCATCCAAGATGTAGGTGTCTTTGTTTCCGCAGAAGTTTCAATTTTGATATTTTTAGGTCAAACCGTTCTTGTCTGTCAGTCATATAATGCAGGTCTATGGTCACCACCTCAAAGAGCAGCACAGAGAAGTCCAAATTAAACATGATTTAATGACTCGTAAATGTAAGTACACATTGATGGCCTAAGACACGAAACGAGCGGTTTGTGTGAGAAAACTAACAGTATTTATATCGTTTTTACTTCTTGTAAACACAGCCACGTCCAAGTGATCTGAGGGCGCCGGCGCTTCGGTCTTTTCCGGCAAGCGCTGGAAGTGATCTCTCGCGCGTGTACGTCACTCATACAATTGTTTTATTTAATTTTTTTATTGTTTTCTTTTACGACGGTTTAAACATCCCGGATAAGCGCAAATTAGTACCCTTTTAATTAGCCGTCTTACCTACAATCTCTGTGTAAACAATGAGTGACGTACACGTGCGAGAGATCACTTCCGGCGCTTTCTGGAAAAGACCGAAGCGCCGGCGCCCTCAGATCACTTTGACGTGGCTGTGTTTACAAGAGGTAAAAACAATATAAACACTGTTCGTTTTCTCACACAAACCGCTCGTTTCGTGTCTTAGGCCATCAATGTGTACTTACATTTACGAGTCATTAAATCATGTTTAATTTGGACTTCTCTGTGCTGCTCTTTGAGGTGGTGACCATAGACCTGCATTATATGACTGACAGACAAGAACGGTTTGACCTAAAAATATCAAAATTGAAACTACTGCGGAAACAAAGACACCTACATCTTGGATGCCCTCGAGGTAAGCTAAAACATACCCAAAAATTAATTTCAAAGTGAACTATCCCTTTAAGTTGAATTACTGAAATAAATTAACTTTTGCACCATATTCTAATTTTTCGAGTTTCACCTGTATATGAAGGGTTTGAAATTATTAAAAGCACCGTTATCATATACAATAAAATTACTTTAGTTCAAAACATGATATCAAATTTTAGTCATGCCATCCACGCTTAAGTTTGGCATTCACTCATTTATGAGCTCTGAAGTGTGTGACACTGTGCTCTTACTCGAGAAGTCGATGGCGAATCCAGATTTGCTGATGTAGAAGTCCGTCTCGAACTGGACGGTGACGATGTTGAGAGTGCTGTGGATGCCGTCGGGTAACAGAGACCCGCTCACTTCCCTCAGAGCCATCTCGTTCTCCGGGTGCCCGTCCCAAACCTTCAGGATATCGTGAGACGCCTCCGTGTCAAACGCCAAGAACTGCAGGCTGAACACACACACCTGATTCACACTCAGAGTCTCACGTGCACAAACATACTTAGAGCAATCTAATCAAATAAATAATACGATAAATCAAGAACCGTAAATGCAATTAATAAATCATCTAATACCATTAAATATGAAGTGTCTTTATAATACAGGTGAAACTCGAAAAATTCAAATATCGTGCAAAAGTTCATTTATTTCAGTAATTCAACTTAAAAGGTGAAACTAATATATTATATAGACTCATTACATGCAAAGTGAGATATTTCAAGCCTTTACTATAAAGACTATAAAACCGTGGTAACACTTTACTTGAAGGGGTGTACATAAGACTGACATGAGACCTTCATAACCATGACATGACATATGTCATGGATATGAAGTAGGGTTTATGCATGTTTATGACAACTGTCATTAAGTGTCTTTCGCTCAATTATGACATTTTGAATGCAAATATGACATTGTTTAAGATGTCTTTGTTATGACACCTTGACATAAACCATAACATCATAACCTGTCAGTGTCTTTGTCATGACAACTTGACATTAAATTAAGTTAAACTGTCATGTGGTTGGTTTTGACATTGGCTGTCATAAGGCCATTATAACTGTGTCATGAATATTTTTCGTGACCTCGACTACAGTGCTACAAATTGAATTTGTCATTAAACAGTTATAATGGCCTCATGACAGCCAATGTCAAAACCAACCACATGACAGTTTAATGTTAACCATAAAGTTATAATTATATAAATTATAGTTATATTTAAGTGGTTTCTTAAGTTTGATAATTAATCTGCTATGTCATGTTTATGACAGGTTGTGTTGTCTTAGTAATGTCAAGTTGTCATGACAAAGACACTGACAGGTTATGATGTATTGGTTTATGTCAAGGTGTCATAACAAAGACATCTCAAACAATGTCATATTTGCATTAAAAATGTCATAATTGAGCGAATGACACTTAATGACAGTTGTCATAAACATGCATAAACCTTCCTTCATATTCATAACATGTGTCATGTCATGATTATGAAGGTGTCATGTTAGTCTTATGCACACCCCTTCAAGTAAAGTGTTACCAAAACCGTTTCACAATATTCTAATTTTGAATTTGGGGCTGTAAGCCATAATCATCCAAATTATAACAAATAAAGGCTTGAAATATCTCACTTTGCATGTAATGAGTCTATATAATATATTAGTTTCACCTTTTAAGTTGAATTACTGAAGTAAAATGCACGATATTTGAATTTTTCGAGTTTCACCTGTATACATAACGATCTGTGTTTATATCTATTCACACCCATTATAAAACTTGGAAGAGCAAGGACATGTTTTAATATAACTCTGTATGAAGAATGTCATATACACCTAGGATGGCTTCAGGGAGAGTAAATCATGGGCTAATTGTCATTTTTGTGTGAACTGTCCCTTTAAGGATCTGCGTTTGGCTGTAATTAGTGGTCAGTCACCTGACAGTGTTGCCGGGGTCCACCTCGATGGACCATGTGCAGCGGAGGTTGTTGTCATATGGAAAAGGGTATCCAGGAGAGAGTATGCGTCCAGATGATTCACCTTTAAAACTTCCCCCACACTCCGCTACAATAGATCAAAACCAGAAGTTATTGCATGCGCTGTCAACTCCCACCCACGACGCGGACGAGATGTATTCCTCCTGCCATTAATGATGAGCTCTGTGGAGAGTGTGTTTCTGCATCTGACACCCCCTCATCATGCCGACGAGGACATGCAACAATGGGCTGTAGTTATGCATGCAAGAGACGCTGCTTTTAACTACGTTCCTCGTGCATGCCATTAATTAATGTTAAAACTCTGTCCACATTATTTATGAGTTCGGTCTTGCATGAGAAGCAGAGGACCACTGCATATATCACACAAAATAAAGGAAGTATTATCATATTCATTACTGTGGCCTCAGCCACAATATCAGCACTACATCGCTCATTAAAGCACTTGTTTCTGTGCCGTATTACAGCAAACGCTGATCTCATGAGCGAACGACATAGAAAATACTGTCATTACAACGGTAACGAACACGGACAAGACGAACACTGCGGAAGAAGAAAGCCGGCAGCTGGAGATTATCATGTTTGATATCATTTCAATGGCCACTTTAGAGCTGGAGTGTGTGTGGATTTGTGGCGTTTAATGTTGTTTATATGTATATGTGGTGTTTTTAATATGCTTTCCTCCTTAAAACTGCAGTGAACCAAAGACAGTCTCAAAAACACGGTTTGAAATCGCTGGTGTTTCTGACGTCACAAACGACCTTGTAACCAATCAGATCAACGTGTGATCGTCAACCAGTGGATCTCTGAGCTGAGGGAGTGAGTGGAGGCGGGGCTCATTTGCATATTCATAGAGCCACGCATACTAAATGAGGCGAGGGTGTCGAGTTACATTCAAGCTATTTGAAGATATAAAGAATTGTTTTTCAAGGAAAAAAACGTTTGGAGAGTTTTAAGGGATAAAATGATTGACTGCGGGGGACTTTAAAGGTTTTGTTTGAGTTTAATAAGCAGAGACACACACTGATTCCCCTGAAAGTTGTGAACACAGTCATTCTGTGGCAATATCAAAACACTGCTCTGTTTGTTTGAGCGTACAGAAACACTTTGTTTGACTCAACCAATGATGTGATTTTGGCGCAGGACTATGTTTGTGTCCCAGTGGGGGAAACCTGTCTGAAAACAGTCATTCTTCTTAGTTATTTTGGAATTAATTTGCCTCCCTAATACGACCAGCAAACTAATCACACATTTAATGGATGTTTTTCACATGATAAAGAGTAAAAATCACATAAATGTACTTTTTTTTTTTTTCATGGGCGAGTGAAATAACAACGGAAAGTGATCTGGACGGTCAACTTGCTTAATATTTGCTTTATAATTGCATGTGATCTGCTTTGTGAAGAGGGAAAATAGCTGTATGGAGAGACATTTATCAGCTAGCTTTTGCATGAAATATTTAGCACAGCCTCGATGTGCACCATTTTGATGTTGACATTCCCAAGGCGCTGTCATACGAGCGAGTGGATCCCCAGGCAGAGCTTCCAGCGTTTGCTCATCGGGATTCAGTCTACAGAGAGGCCGGCTACTTCACTCTGACTGCTCTATTGTACATCAATTTCATCATACAAAAGGCAGGAATACGCTGGTCTACCATAAATATTGATGACTCTACGAGACCGATCAACTTATGTGAAACTTCTTTATAGTTTGCCTGAGCGTTTTGAGACTGAGACTCTGTTCTGAGAACATTGTGATCTACCTTTGCTGACTACAAACGCAGCTGGCAGGAGATTACAGATAAAGATAACCTATTAGGCTTTTTTCCATCTTTCTTTAGTGTGTAATGTTGATATTTGAGCATAAAAAGGCTCTGCAAAGTCTCTCTATATCAGCGTCAGTGTTTCTGAACTCCTGAAACGCCTCCATTGTAGTCTTGAGTTTCTCCCGGGAACGAACACGTCACAATATTCCTCATTATAATAATTAATGCGCAGAATAAAGGGGCGGGGCCTGGTTGAGTTAGTTAGTAGTGTGTTAAACTGGCGGTTATGGAAAGGGGCGGGACATTTCCCAAACACACTCGAAGCGCCCAACCAATCACAACACAATGATCCAGCCAACCAATCAGAGCACAGTGTGCTTTTAAGAAGGAGGGGCTTCATAGAGACAGGAAGTAAACAGAGCGTTACTGACAGACTGGGAAGAGAGGAGCCGCAACAGTGGAGAATATGAGGAGAATAATCCATGCAAACCTCTTCTAGTAGAGCTCAATTACAAAACCAAGACTTTGCAAAAGCGCATAATAAATCCTCTGATTTATTGTGACTGATTGGAAAGGAAGAAGAAACCAAAGACAGTTCCTTCTGCTGAAAACAACTGGCATATATTCCAGACAAACTAGTGCAGGAGATCTGGATAAAAACTAAATAAAAACAATTTGATTAATGTTTAAATTCCAAGATGATTATTTACAGGTGAAACTCGAAACATTAGAATATGGTGCAAAAGTTCATTTATTTCAGTAATTCAACTTAAAAGGTGAAACTAATATATTATATAGACTCATTACATGCAAAGTGAGATATTTCAAGCCTTTATTTGTTATAATTGTGATGATTATTGCTTACAGATATGAAAACCTTTTCACAATATTCTAATTTTGAATTTGGGGTTTTCATAAGCTGTAAGCCATAATCATCACAATTATAACAAATAAAGTCTTGAAATATCTCACTTTGCATGTAATGAGTCTATATAATATATTAGTTTCACCTTTTAAGTTGAATTCCTGAAATAAATGAACTTTTGCACCATATTCTAATGTTTCGAGTTTAGGCGAAGCTGATATGAAGACGTGGCTATTGATGTAAAGTTGGGTTGTTGACAAATAACACTTTTTTTCCCAACATACATTTTTTATTAAACTAAAAGGTGTAAAAACTGGCTTGACCTTTTCGCAGTTCAAATGGTCATGAAGTGCGACAAATTAATTTTTTTAAAGAATAAATAATCCATGTGCTCTCAATTAATTTGGGGTCATAAAAAGCAGCATGTAGGATAATTAAGCAATTATACAAGAATAAAATGATGTCAGTGTCTCGCTGGTTAAATAGAGCGTGTGTGAGCTGTCAATCTAGTGCTTAGAGGGATTCACAGGTTAAGAAGTTTGAGCATCTCAGTCGTCTATAATTAAGCAGCTGCTGAGAAACCAATCCTGGACAACATCCCGTCCTGGAAAACAGCAAACCAGCATCCAAAACACAACATATGCTGCGCTTTCAGAGTGGCAATTATGAATATTCACTCTCCAAATGAGTATGTACTCAAAAAACATTTCCCCATGAGTATTTCTTGTTTGTACTCTATGAATCTCAAGGCTACGTGAACAAAATATTTCTAACAGTACATGCTCTTTTTAGTACATTAAACTCAGGGTTTGAGCAATGAACCAATCTCTGATTTACAATGAGAAACGAAAGCATGAACGGCAAAACACAAACACTAAACATCTCAGCTAAACGTTTTGTGGTGCTCAACTGATTAAATAAACTGGAAACACACCGAGATGATTTGCATGTCAAAATGCAACCCATTTATTTTCTGGTGCATAATTTATGGTTATTCCTAATTAAAAAAAATTCCCTTCACATTTATTTAATTGCTTGCTTACAGCTCTGGAATTACTATGTATAGCAATTAAATGGATAATAATTAAAATAATAATATTATTAAAAATATTGAAAAATAAAAACTATACAGTATATATATATTTTAATTAAATATTTTTTCTAAAATTAAATATTTATAATTAAATACATTTTGAAACAGAAATATATATTAAATATTTTATATAAATATTTTATCCTATAAATATATATATATTAATAACTAATTCTATTGTATTAAGTATTAGTGTATTATATTAAAATTATATTTTACAGTATTTATATTTAAATTAATAACTATTATTATAAATCTAAATAACATAATGTATATAATTATTACCATTATTTTTTTAATAAAAAAATTATTACACACGGTCTGGGACCATCCGCTCCCCTCCTGCATACGTAACACACACACACACACACACACACACACACACACACACACACACACACACACACACACACACACACACACACACACACTGTGTTTGCATGATACAGCCATACAAGCTGAACACACACACCATTACACACACCCTCAGCCTCGTGCATCGGGAGCAAAGTTTAATTGGGTGAGACGTGTCAGAATGCAATCAGCCTGTAAACACACACACACACACACACACACACACACACACTGAGACGCGTGACAGGCACGCTGCTGTACATCAATTATTCACAACAAACACACACACACACAAACACAGCTGCAAGACCAATTAAGTGGAATCCATGTAAGGATAAATCCTCAGGATTAAGGATACACACGGCTGCGTTTGGAATAAAACACTAGCTTATACCCACTGAACACTGTACAGTATACACTACACTACTGTACTCTAAAGACACTGTGGAAGCAAACGCAGCGCTATTTAGTATGCAGAAATGATATAGCATGCTATTCCGGACCCAGTGTACGTCTGTGAAGGGTTGCAGTGTGTGTGTGTGTGTGTGTGTGTGTGTGTGTGTGTGTGTGTGTGTGTGTGTGTGTGTGTGTGTGTGTGTTACCTATGCAGGAGGGGAGCGGATGGTCCCAGGCCGTGTGTGTGTGCGTGTGTGTGTGTGTGTGTTACCTATGCAGGAGGGGAGCGGATGGTCCCAGGCCGTGTGTGTGTGTGTGTGTGTTACCTATGCAGGAGGGGAGTGGATGGTCCCAGGCCGTGTGTGTGTGTGTGTGTGTGTGTGTGTGTGTGTGTGTGTGTGTGTGTGTGTGTTACCTATGCAGGAGGGGAGCGGATGGTCCCAGGCCGTGTGTATGTGTGTGTGTGTGTGTGTGTGTTACCTATGCAGGAGGGGAGTGGATGGTCCCAGGCCGTGTGTGTGTATGTGTGTGTGTGTGTGTGTGTGTGTGTGTGTGTGTGTGTGTGTGTGTGTGTGTGTGTGTGTGTGTGTGTGTGTGTGTTACCTATGCAGGAGGGGAGTGGATGGTCCCAGGCCGTGTGTGTGTATGTGTGTGTGTGTGTGTGTGTGTGTGTGTGTGTGTGTGTGTGTGTGTGTGTGTGTGTGTGTGTGTGTGTGTTACCTATGCAGGAGGGGAGTGGATGGTCCCAGGCCGTGTGTGTGTGTGTGTGTGTGTGTGTGTGTGTGTTACCTATGCAGGAGGGGAGCGGATGGTCCCAGGCCGTGTGTGTGTGTGTGTGTGTTACCTATGCAGGAGGGGAGCGGATGGTCCCAGGCCGTGTGTGTGTGTGTGTGTGTGTGTGTGTGTGTGTGTTACCTATGCAGGAGGGGAGCGGATGGTCCCAGGCCGTGTGTGTGTGTGTGTTACCTATGCAGGAGGGGAGCGGATGGTCCCAGGCCGTGTGTGTGTGTGTGTGTGTGTTACCTATGCAGGAGGGGAGCGGATGGTCCCAGGCCGTGTGTGTGTGTGTGTGTGTGTGTGTGTGTGTGTGTGTTACCTATGCAGGAGGGGAGCGGATGGTCCCAGGCCGTGTGTGTGTGTGTTACCTATGCAGGAGGGGAGCGGATGGTCCCAGGCCGTGTGTGTGTGTGTGTGTGTGTGTGTGTGTTACCTATGCAGGAGGGGAGCGGATGGTCCCAGGCCGTGTGTGTGTGTGTGTGTGTGTGTGTGTGTTACCTATGCAGGAGGGGAGCGGATGGTCCCAGGCCGTGTGTGTGTGTGTGTGTTACCTATGCAGGAGGGGAGCGGATGGTCCCAGGCCGTGTGTGTGTGTGTGTGTGTGTGTGTGTGTGTGTGTTACCTATGCAGGAGGGGAGCGGATGGTCCCAGGCCGTGTGTGTGTGTGTGTGTGTGTGTGTGTTACCTATGCAGGAGGGGAGCGGATGGTCCCAGGCCGTGTGTGTGTGTGTGTGTGTGTTACCTATGCAGGAGGGGAGCGGATGGTCCCAGGCCGTGTGTGTGTGTGTGTGTGTGTTACCTATGCAGGAGGGGAGCGGATGGTCCCAGGCCGTGTGTGTGTGTGTGTGTGTGTGTGTGTGTGTTACCTATGCAGGAGGGGAGCGGATGGTCCCAGGCCGTGTGTGTGTGTGTGTGTGTGTGTGTTACCTATGCAGGAGGGGAGCGGATGGTCCCAGGCCGTGTGTGTGTGTGTGTGTGTGTGTGTGTTTGTTACCTATGCAGGAGGGGAGCGGATGGTCCCAGGCCGTGTGTGTGTGTGTGTGTGTGTGTTACCTATGCAGGAGGGGAGCGGATGGTCCCAGGCCGTGTGTGTGTGTGTGTGTGTGTGTTACCTATGCAGGAGGGGAGCGGATGGTCCCAGGCCGTGTGTGTGTGTGTGTGTGTGTGTGTGTGTGTGTGTGTTACCTATGCAGGAGGGGAGCGGATGGTCCCAGGCCGTGTGTGTGTGTGTGTGTGTGTGTGTGTTACCTATGCAGGAGGGGAGCGGATGGTCCCAGGCCGTGTGTGTGTGTGTGTGTGTGTGTGTTACCTATGCAGGAGGGGAGCGGATGGTCCCAGGCCGTGTGTGTGTGTGTGTGTGTGTGTTACCTATGCAGGAGGGGAGCGGATGGTCCCAGGCCGTGTGTGTGTGTGTGTGTGTGTGTTACCTATGCAGGAGGGGAGCGGATGGTCCCAGGCCGTGTGTGTGTGTGTGTGTGTGTGTGTGTGTTACCTATGCAGGAGGGGAGCGGATGGTCCCAGGCCGTGTGTGTGTGTGTGTGTGTGTGTTACCTATGCAGGAGGGGAGCGGATGGTCCCAGGCCCGTCTCTCGCCCGTCATGCATCTCAACACGCGGTTGCCATGGAGACCGTATCCCGGGTCGCAGCGGTACGAGATCACACTGCCGGAGAAGTGGCCTTGGTCGCTCGCTTTAGATCCGAACTGAGGAACGCCGGGTTCATCACAGTGAGAGAGCTCGAAGCCTGGAGGGGAACGCATGAGAGAGAGGAACATCAGTGGGAGAATCTGCACCGGCTTTCCTTTTCAAGGTGTCTAGACTTCTGTTAGAGGAAGGTCACCTTAAAGCAGGTTTTCTTAAAGTGCCTTCATTTTTTTTGGTATTTTTAGCTTTTATTTTTTTTTTATAGTTTATTCAAACGTTAGTGTGCTTGGTTATCATGGAGATAAAAGTGTTTGAGATTAAATATTAGACGTGATATGTGAAGAAATAAAATATATAATGTATCTGAAGTACTCAATGAAGTATTAAACATATATAAAACTTGGTTTAATATTTCATTGAGTATTTAAGATTATGTTAAATATATTTTATATGTGTTTGTGTGTATATATATATATATATATTAGTTAATTAAATTATATATAAACACAATTTGTATTTAGGATACAAAATGCAAGCATAAATGCCCAATAACTATAACAATAAAGATATCTAAACAATAAAAATATCTAAAAGTCGTTCAGAATATAACAGAATTCACAGCACAACTATAACGATAACGACACAGAGAAACGATCTCGATTCACTTCCAGAACGACTATTTTACTATAAAAACACTGACAGCCAATCAGAATCCATCCTGCTTTAACGAGATCGAGCATTTAAAGCGACAGGCGACAATAACTGCAATAACTATAACTATAATAAATAGACGCTATTGTGGACACTAATATAGTCAGTGTTATAGCTTTCATTAAAAGGCTTTAAAACACACTGTAAGTGGTCAAAAAACAAACCTAAATAAATGAAATTGTGAAGTGTGTGTTTTAAAACATTAACAGGACTGAATGTTTTAATTTCAAAACCACGGGCATTAATATGAAGTTGATCCTCAGTCCTGTTTGCACTTTCCGGGACGGTTTTCCACTTATGGATGAATTCAAAAAGTACAAAATCGAAAAGACGTCGAGATACTTTTGACCATATCACAACAAACTGGTTTCCAAACTCATTTTCTGCAAATATCTGAGTAAAAATAAACTAGGCTTTCTCTCATTTCTGATCTGTCCAATTACATTTTACCAGCAAACACAATTTTCTGTGTTTTTAATGTGTCATATGCAATTACAGAGAACAAGAGCACAAATAATATCACATCCCAACCATTTAATCCTAATCAGATCTTAACGAGAGAATGATACACTTAATTAATTCAGTGAAATAGGTGTGGGTGAAGGAAACAGAAGCCGAGCCGCCAGCATTCACACGTCCCGGCGGAACGACATCATGAATTTCACTTTGAGTTTCCATAATGCAACATAAAACAAAGAAATAAACCCACAGCCATAATAATATTCACATTTATGTGAACATACAGCCCTATAATAGTGCGAGACAATAACACGAGCAACACTGTGCCTGTTAATTAAGACGTTAGATGAAGAAATTACAGAGGATGTTTAGAGAGTTTATGGATAATAGCAGATTTAATCAGCTTTAAACTCTAGTCTTGTGTGAAAACATCAAGAATTAATCAGGAAAATATCATGTTATTCATACAGTACTTTTGTGTACATGCAGATTTAGGATAGTCATAAACAACACTGGTTTGGCCAATGGCGTGAGTTTGGGGGCGGGCTATATAGATGGGGGATGGGCTATATAGATGGGGGCGGGACTATATAGATGGGGGCAGGGCTATCTAGATGGGGCGGGACTATATAGATGGGGCAGGGCTATATAGATGGGGCGGGCTATATAGATGGGGTGGGCTATATAGATGGGGGATGGGCTATATAGATGGGTAGGGGCTATATAGATGGGTAGGGGCTATATAGATGGGGGCGGGACTATATAGATGGGGGCGGGGCTATCTAGATGGGGCGGGACTATATAGATGGGGATGGGCTATATAGATGGGTAGGGGCTATATAGATGGGTAGGGGCTATATAGATGGGGGCGGGACTATATAAATGGGGGCGGGGCTATCTAGATGGGGCGGGACTATATAGATGGGGCGGGGCTATATATGGGGGCGGGGCTATGCAGATGGAGGCGGGACTATACAGATGGGGCGTGGCTATCAGATGGGGGCGGGACTATATAGATGGGGCGTGGCTATATAGATGGGGGCGGGGCTATATAGATGGGGCGGCACTCGAGTCCCAGTAACAAGCAGCATCAAAATATTACACATAGTATGTAATAATTATGTAATTTATATTTCCTAATATTGAATGCATAAAATACCGGAAATGTTTCATGAATTGCTGAATTATTAGTGCAACAGCCAATTCCTAAAAACTAGTCCAATTTCACATTTTATAAATATATATATAAAACCTTTAAAACATTATATATAGAATAATGAATGTGTGAAAGTCTTTTGATAGTGCTTATACTGGAAATACACATAACATAACATAACATAACATAACATAACATAACATAACATAACATAACATAACATAACATAACATAACGAAGTGAAATCGGATCATAAAACTAAATTATGGGAGAAATATTTTTTTGGGTGAACCATTAGTTTAAATAATACACTGTTCTATATTTTTTCATATTTGAAATTATTTTGATGCTGCTTGTCATTTTTTTTTATTTTTTTTTAAATATTATAAAATAAAATAAAATACTAAATTATGGCAGAATGAATTTTTGGGTGAACTATTCGTTTAAAAGTTATATTGTAGTATAATATTTTATATTTGAAATAATTTTGATGCTGCTTGTTACTGAATAATATAATACAATACAATATAATATGGTATAATATAATATAATATAATATAATATAATATAATATAATATAATATATACAATACAATACAATACAATTAGGGCTGTCAAATGATTAATCGTGATTAATCACATCCAAAATAAAAGTTTGTGTTTACATAATATATGTGGGTGCACTGTGTATAATTATTTTGTATATATATAAATACACACACATGCATGTATATTTAAGAAAAAAATATTATTTATATATAAAATATTTATATTTATATATAATATAAATTATATATAAATCTATATACATGAAATGTATATACATGAAAATATTTCTTAAATATATACATGCATGTGTGTGTATTTATATATATAAAATAATTATACACAGTGCACCCACATATATTATGTAAACAAAAACTTTTATTTTGGATGTGATTAATCACGATTAATCATTTGACAGCCCTAAATACAATAATATAATATAATATAATATAATATAATATAATATAATATAATATAATATAATATAATATAATATAATATAATATTTTTTTGGGTGAACCATTAATTTAAATAACACACTGTTCTATAATATTTCTTATTTGAAATTATTTTGATGCTGCTTGTCATTTTTTTAAAATCAATTATAAAATAAAATAAAATAATAAAAAATAAAATAAAATAAAATAAAATAAAATAAAATAAAATAAAATAAAATAAAATAAAATAAAATAAAATAAAAATATGGCAGAAGGAAATTTTGGGTTAACTATTCGTTTAAACGATATGTTGTAGTATAATATTTTATATTTGAAATAATTTTGATGCTGCTTGTTACTGAATAATATAATATAATATAATATAATATAATATAATATAATATAATATAATATAATATAATATAATATAATATAATATAATATAATATAATATAATATAATATAATATAATATAATATATGGAAATGCCATGAGACTAAATAATGGCAGATTTTTCTCCGGGTGAGCTATTTCTTTGATATGTTTCTCTAAGTTCCCTCCCTGTTCTCCTCTTCTTTAGCACAGCTCAGGTGAAACCCCAACGCCCGGGCTGTGACTGAACACATCATCAGCGCTGACAGACCAACGAGACGCTCCGAGTAAAAGCTGTTAGTGTTTCTCAGGGAATGAGCGAGTGCATCTGAACGCCTCCAGTTCTGGACAGAACAGAAGAAGAACTGCGTTATCCTCCTTCAGAGCCATGTTTTCCTCACGCTATAATCACGCTTTATGATCACGATATCAAACAATACAGCACTGTGAGCAAGACACATTACTAAACTTCTCATGAGAAAAGACAGACCTATAATTTCCAACAAAGAAAATTAAGAGTCTCCATGGCACTAATAATCCATGCATATGATGCGGCTAATTCAACGGTTTTCATTTGAAAAGCAATAAACTATGTGTGTGTGTGTGTGTGTGTAGTGAGTGCTGAGAACCATTATACAGTTCATGCTGACAATGAAATAAAGATATTAATCCAGAAATTAAAATTAATTGAGCTAATATATTCATGAGAGGTATGGCAGAAAGATTGAGAGGCAGAAGGAGATTTCATTCGTATCCGTAAGCGTCCAAAATGAACTTATACCACACCTGCCCATTAAACTGTGCTTGCATTATTTATTAAAATATATATTCTTTGCCAATATACAGCAAAACGGCATCCATCATCGCCCAACAAATGAGTAGCATACAGTTTACTCACCAAAGTCAATTTTGCTCATATTAGACACTTGGCTGGTGTTCTTTTTGAACTAATATAATATAATATAATATAATATAATATAATATAATATAATATAATATAATATAATATAATATAATATAATAATCAGAAAATATGTGTGAGAAAGGCCTTTGCAATTGCAATTTTATGAATACTTATAAGAGTACAGTCATTTGCAGCCTTGGTAGAGATGAATTTATTTATCATCAAAGCATCAAATATGAAATATCAGTGAAACACTGTTGATGTTTCTCACTTTTGTTTATCCTCACAGGAATTTGAGCATCCCAAATGAACTGAAGTTTGCAGCAAGTGCTTCATGAATGCGGGTTGACTTTATTTTCACTTTTGGGGAGGAAAACAAAAGCTGCGCCGAGGAGAAGCTACTGAAGTCACGTATTACAAGACTAAAATCAGGCAACTTATAGTGTGTGTGTGAGTTTCTACACGTAGTGTGGAATTAAAGATGTACTTCACCACTGGCAAAATAGGCTTTCAATAAAACGTGTCTGCCTGTACAGAAGAAAGGCGAAAACATTTTTGAAAATTCGGTGTTAAAAGAGAAAAGGCTGTTGTCTTCCTTTTGGCCGAATAGGTAGGAAAACTTCAACACCCATAATGCACTGGGCATACCGTCGCCTAAGGCCACGCCCACTCTGCTCCTATTGGCTAAGCATTTCCGGAGTGAAATACCACCTTGCTTTGGTAGGAAATACTGCTTAGCAAACTTTTAGTCATAATGGTGTCGACTTTTATTGTTCCTGAGTGCAAAAATTCAAAGAGTGAAGGATCGAGAGTGTTGCAAAGAATCATAAATATGGAGAAAGCTGAAAACCTCTGTGTTCGTAGTCAACATTTCAAACTGCATGACCACAAACACAGTGTTTTAGGCCAAACAGAAGAGAAAACACTGATGCATGCTTCATCCATATTCGCCTACTTGTACAATGCTTTTGTGAAGAATAAGTACAGAATAATACTTTTGAGTGTGTAGCAGACAAACTACTTCTTCATAACTGGACACTCTGTAGCTTAGTTGCGTGCTCCTGTCTCCGTTTAAACTGCCCTGTCAATCATCTCGTCACAGTTAAAATCCTCCACATTCAGTTTAATTAAATTTCCTACCATATCGGAGAGAAATTCAGCACGTTAATCTGCCAGTCATGCAGAGACTCTCCTCTTTACACCAAACGTATATTTATAAAAGTTCACAATGCCTTTATAGATATAATGTGGATAACAATGAATAAATAGTTTTTCGGCAGGTTAGATACGGATTATTAATCACTCAAACCGCTTAACTGTCAGTCTCACACATCAGCCATGTTTGTAGTTTTTTTACTCGTTTTATCCATGTTTGTAGTTCTAATTGAATAAACGGCAACATTAGCCGTTAGAGTCTCTACGGATCTGCACTTCGGAAATCGTAAACCATCCGAATATCTTTGTAATACTAATTTCATCATGCTACGATTAGGGTCACACTAATTCTAATTTCAAATACTGTTATGGATAATATGCGAAAAATATGTGACGCATATAAACGCCGTCGCATACAGGTAAGAAAGCTGTTTCCACATTTTACCATAATGCTCTTTAAATAAAGAGTATGCTGTAACTTTCAGTGATAAACCTACTCATACAATAACTGTTCGGTTAATAACCCTCTTCCGATCCGACTGTCTGTGGGCGGCCATACAGAAATGCAGAAGTAAAATCTGTAGTTTTCACAAAAGTCCTTGAGCTTTCAAATAAAGGGGAATTTCTCAGTCCAGGTGACACGGATAAAGAGTAAACATTGTTCATTTACATACACTACTGACATTGTAACAATACAAACAGGTTGAAAGTCGGTAAGAGTGAGAGTCCTGAGTCCGAAATCCGTGTCTGAAATTTTTGTACGTTAAAAAATAAATACGACCTCATGTTTTGTCAATCACGTTTATACCCTGCCTCCGAAACTTTCGTCCGTCATAAAGAAAACAAAAACAAATTTTCTGCGTTTTCCACATCCGTAGTAAGCATTTGAAGAGTTGTTTTGACAATCCAGAGCCACCGAATGACGAATACGAAAAAAGGCATACATACATTTGGGACTCAGTGTGCCAGGACCTTAAGAGTAAGAGTAAGAGTAAGATTATGAGTAAGAGAGTAAGAGTAAGATTATGAGTAAGAGAGTAAGAGTAAGATTATGAGTAAGAGAGTAAGAGTAAGAGTAAGAGTAAGAGTAAGAGTAAGATTATGAGTAAGAGAGTAAGAGTAAGAGTAAGAGTAAGAGTAAGAGTGAGAGTAAGATTATGAGTAAGAGAGTAAGAGTAAGAGTAAGAGTAAGAGTAAGATTATGAGTAAGAGAGTAAGAGTAAGAGTAAGAGTAAGAGTAAGCTTACTGGTGTAAACCAGCTTAAATCCCTCGGCCGTGTCGTCTTGATCAGAGTAAAACTCGAGCCACAGGTGATTCGACGTGCTGGTCAATGACTGACCCAACATAGAGGAACCCGAGAAACCTCCCAGAACCTCTGCGCTGCTGTCCGGACCGTCATATATCTGGGAAAGGAGACCAGAGAAGTCATAGCAATACCCAAAATAGCACTTTTTGACTACAATTTAGTTTTAAAAGAGTGTGTGTTGCAAGCTTGTACAGGCTCTGCTTCAGTATTTACCTTGAGAACATCACCTTGAGCCAGATGAAAGCTGTTCGCTGATATGTTGATTCCTTTCCCCCCCTGTACTTGAATGTTGTAGATGCACTCGTGGTTGTTCTCGTAATTGTGGGGATAGTTTGGGGACAACAGGACACCGGAGTTCTTGGAAACGGTCGAGCCGCATTCAGCTGTGGACAATGGGGAACCGTAGTGACACAGTGGAACAGCAACATGTGAAAAGTGTAAATTTGGGGAAGTAAACAGAAAGCGAGGTATATACACTGAACAAAATTATAATCGCAACACTTTGTGTTTGCCCCTGTTTTTCATGAGCTGAACTCAAAGATCTAAGACTTTTTCTATGTACACAAAAGGCCTATTTCTCTCAAATATTGTTCACAAATCTGTCTAAATCTGTGTTAGTGAGCACTTCTCTTTTGCCGAGATCATCCATCCACGTCACAGGTGTGGCATATCAAGATGCTGATTAGACGGCATGATTATTGCACAGGTGTGCCTTAGGCTGGCCACAATAAAAAGGTCACTCTAAAATGTGCAGTTTTACTGTATTGGGGGGTCCGGGGGGACCTGATGCTCTGGATCGGCGTATACGACAGCGTGTTCCAGCTCCTGCCAATATCTAGCAACTTCACACAGTCATTGAAGAGGAGTGGACCAACATCCCACAGGCCACAATCAAGAGGCCCCTCCGGATCCCCCAAATCAGGAAAACTGCACATTTTAGAGTGGCCTTTTATTGTGGGCAGCCTAAGGCACACCTGTGCAATATTCATGCCGTCTAATCAGCATCTTGATATGCCACACCTGTGACGTGGATGGATGATCTCGGCAAAGGAGAAGTGCTCACTAACACAGATTTAGACAGATTTGTGAACAATATTTGAGAGAAATAGGCCTTTTGTGTACATAAAAAGTCTAGAATCTTTGAGTTCAACTCGTGAAAAATGGGGGCAAACACAAAAGTGTTGTGTTTATAATTTTGTTCAGTGTAGAAAGAGAACATATACCATCAAAACATGCAATATATCATGAACAACATATTTTGTCACTCATTGGTTGCATTCGAGTCAGGATTGTATCGCACGATGCAACGCGCTCGTCCATTTACAGTGCAATCAAATGAAAAAGAAAATCATTCGAAGTTCCCTGACTCGTTTCTTTTTTATTAGACTCCCAAAAGGTCAGAAATTGACCATCAAAATTGGATTAAAAAAATGCAAAAAAAAAGTTTCCGTAACTTGATGCCAATCACTGAATTAAACTTGCATGTGATAACAATTAGGACAATATAATTTGAAATGCTTAATGTATACTGCATACTTCAAGTATACTGTAAAAGTTGTCAAGTTTGACAACGTTTTACAAGAAAATGGTTTTCTACTTTAAAATGTCCTGTTTAATTCAATGTGGTACTTGCCTTTTCTTTAGAATTAATAAAAAATGTCAGTGTACAACTTTAGTAACTAGTATATAGTATATAATGGGTACACTGTAAAAATATATATATATATATTACAAAGTTGTAAATAATAATAAAAAGTACATTTTACAAGAAAATACTATTTCAGTCTTTCAATGTGTTGCTTGCCGTAGAATTAATTGTGACATTTACTAGCCATTTGAGTGAAAATATCTTCCACACTACATTTTTCAAGTGCACTATGTTAGCAACAACAAGCAAGTTTATAGTCTATAAGTACCCTGTAAAAAATGTATTTTTCAAAGTTGTAAATAAATATAGGCAACACTTTACACAACATATTCTACTAACCCGAACTCTAACGTACAGTCTACTAATACTCTAATGAGAGTTAGTTGACATGTAGGTGCAAAGTTACTTATAGTTAGTAGAATATCTGAAGTGAACTAGTCTCTAGATCTAGATAAGTCTTTCCATTTCAAAATTTAACTTTGCTGTTTCTTTGTAATTATTTGTGAAATTTACTAGTAAAAATGGAAGTAAATCCTACACCATATTTTTGTCAGTGTGTAATAAGTAGTGCAGTATTCAAGTCAAGTCAAGTCACCTTAATTCATACAATATAGATTGTTTTAAAGCAGCTTTACAGTGATAACAGGAGATTACAGTAACAGAGATTGTTTAGGCTTTACAGCTGCTCTAGAATAAAGTTATTGTCCAGATAAAGTTAGTTTTGATTGATTCACTTCCATTGCAAAGATCATTAGTTATTACCTATGGGGCCGCTAACACGACACCGCTCTAACAGAAAACAGGAACTTTTAATGTGTTCTGGACGCTCATTTGCACACAGCAGTGTTTGAGCTCGAGAACACAAACTCTGAAACAGCTTCCAAGATGCAAGTTTTGAAATTTTGTGAAAAACGTGATCATCTCCGTGAATCTGTGAAAACGGTAACGGCGTGCACATGCATATCACGTGTTTAGTCTATAGGTATGTGCATTTGAATATATACGTATGAGCGCAGACGCGTAGTCTTTCTTTACAAAGTGACCTCACTCAGAACGCCACTGAACTGGAAAGCAACCATGAAGACGTGTGAACCTCTGGACGTGGAAGCGAATGAGAGCGGCACGTACCCACACACCTTGGCAGAGGTGCACTCCACACACGCCGCCCGCCACCCAGACACGCGATCTGTCCAGCGCCCTGCAGACGATAGCCTAGCTCACACGAGAACGCCACGCTGGCGCCGACGCCGAAGCTGCCGCCGCTGTGCCTGCCAAACACCGGCGCGCCAGGGTCCTCGCATGGCTCCAGGTCATATTCTGAACAACAACAACAGGCAAAAAGTTAAGCAGAAAACTTCCTCAGCTGGCCTCATTACGTTATACAGGCTGACCTTCACGGTGAGCTAAAAAAAAGTGCTAAATATTGTAATACAGGATGTAGGATGTGACATAATTCATGTAAACGGTGCTATTAAAACAAAGGAATTAGTAATACTCAACTCAATGTTTATTTATATAGCACTTAAAAACACACGAAGGTTTGCCAAAGTGCTGTACGAGCAATGATTAAAATAAAACAATAACATAACAAAAAGCAAGAAAATTAAAACACAACAAGATAGGGGCTGTTTACACGACACCGTTTTCAACTTAAAAACGTACAGCTTTTTACGCGTTTTGGCCGTTCGTTTACACGACAATGGAAACGCAAACTTTTGAAAGCGGTGTCCGTCTAAACAACAAAAGCACCGATCTCTGAAGGCGATGACGTCATGTACATGCGTATTACGTGTTCAGGCTATAGAGCTTCATTTGCTGACCAACAAAATTAGAGAAATATCATTTAAAATAATTCATAAGTTTTACCCGTGTAATTATCATATTGTTAAAAAAAAAAAGAAAAAAAAAAGACATTGATGTAATGTGCACTTTCTGCTCTATGAGTATTGAAACAGTTACCCATTTGTTTTGGCACTGCCCTTTTGTCCAAAGTTTCTGGTCTGATATTTGTCATTTTATTGCAGAAAAAAATTGAGAAAGATTTCAAGTTGTTTTGGAAGGATGTTCTTTTTGGCCTTTATGACCTCAACAGAACTAAGACTAGGCCTAATGAAACTTTAATTATAAATCTCACTATTCTCTTGGCAAAATTTAACATTCATAAATGTAAGTTTGCGCATTCCAAAACATATTTTATTGCTTTTAGCAATGAGGTCAAGCAATATGTCAAAACGATTAAGTATTCTCTTAATCAAAAGGCAACAAAAACTGTGAATGTATGTAAACAATTTGATATCTTTTTGTAAATCCGTACTTCCCCTGGCAAACTGTGATGATGTGAGTCTTTTGTTATGTTTTGTTTATGTTAAAACACCCGCAATGTTGACAACTGCACAATGTATTATTTTTATAATGGAGATGAACGTTCCTGTAAACTGTGGAATTGTTGAATAAAAAAATAAAATAAAATAAAGTCTATAGAGCTTCTGTAGCTCCGCCCCTTTCAGCGCTGCGCTCGTTGTCTTTTGTCTTCCGGTCTGTATTTTCACAGCGATCTTGCGTATTTATGAATGAACGGCTCGTTTTAAAATCTTCCCGGTCGACTGACATTTGTTAAGACATCTGCTTTAAACATTACAATCCTCATGATAACTTTTGTTAACTTTACATTAATTAAATCCACTTTAAAGGTGCTCTACGTAACTTTTAGCGGCCTCTAGTGGTGATGTTTCAGATTGCAACCAAATTTTACAAGAGCGCTCGTGCTCGAACTCATAGACAATACCGTCTATTACGCAAATATCTCGGCAAATACTTGACGGATTCGGCGAGCACCGAGCTCGTTGGGACCATCTAGTCGAGCTGAAATAAACCATATAAGTTCCATAGTTTTTGGTGGTGTTTTCGCGGAGATATTAGCAGAAAACCATCGGGCGCGCTGCAAAATTGCGGACGCCGGTGACGTCACGATCTCAGAAGAAAATCGCTCGTATCTCTGGAACGCAAAGACCCAGAGAGCTCAAATTCGGGGGAGGAGGTCCCAGGGGAACCCTTGCCCCAACGCTAGAGTGGCGGGCCTCGGGGACGCCCCCTACCGGATCGCCGTTCGCTGGGACCCCCGATTTCGAACGGCTATAACTCGGGCAGCCGGGCGAGTTGGACCTCGGGGGTGGGCTCGTTCGAAAGGCCCCGTCCAGCACTACGAACGATTAGAGTTTTGGGAATATTGATCAAAGATTGACTGAGATTTAAGCCGAAAAACGTGCGCCTTTAACCGGACGTAACTCCCTGACCGTCTACAATAGACTGTATATAAGGAGAGAGGCTCGGGAGCGCGCATGCACGTCACATCCGTTGGATTTCGTGGTAAATCCGACCCGGAGACTTCACATAGAAATAGGAATACTGGCCTTCAGAGGTAATAGCAAAACTCGACAAGTGGATCATTTTAATGTGTGATTACAACCCCTTCACACACAGGCAATAAAAAAAGGATTCATTTTAGTAGAAAAGTTACATAGAGCACCTTTAATAGCTAATTACTCCTGGACAGCGACGCCATAGAGATATACAGAGCAACCGCAAAAACTGAAATTCAAAGACACTATCCTAAAGATGGCGGCGCCCTCGTCTTTGTGTTTTCATATCGTTGTTGTGTAAACGTACCATCAAACATAACAGCTCTCAAACTGAAATAAATGTCAGAGTTTTAACACTGGTTTTACAGCAACACTAAAGAACGTTTCCTCTGCGGTCCCCCTACAGGTTGGAAGCGGAATTGTCCGTAAATAATTTAGCCTACCGTCGCACGCACGCTCGCAGTTTATCCAGCACCGGCTCGGGAATGAACGCTGTCCACAGACAAGGTAGAGTATGTTGCATGATTTCATGAAAGTATGATGTATTGCGACATTATTAAAAACTAAATAAGGACTAATGTAACGCTTGACGTAAAGCAAGTCAAATTTGTAGTTTTCTTTTGTCTCATTCGAACTACATAAAAACGCGACCCGATCTGGCAATCTTAGCGTGGTTATAGCATATATAGGGATGCAAAGCGAATCCAGAAGTGCCTTTCACCCTGTCACGACTTGATGAACCACTGATACGATTTTGGAAACATTATTTTAAGGTATAAAATGTTCTTTAGTGTTGCTTTAAAGGCTGGACGTGATTGGCCCTGCCTAACATAACTGTGCTCTTGATGGAGTACCCATCTGTACTAAATCGGAAAGATATTTTGGTGCTAAACCATTTAATGATTTAAAAACTAAAATCAATTCAGTGAAAAGAGGCCATATATAAGTTACGAGCCGCCTATATATAATGATACACTTTAGTTGTAAGCATATTCATAATGCATGTTATATCTTAATTGTAACCAAAGTTAAAATGCATTATAATATTTGCAGATTCCTTACATCTGAAACTGGTTGTTTGTCGTGCGTTTTAATGCATTGTACTTTCTAAAGGTGTTCAATGAATAGATAATTTTATAACTGTGGTTATGATTATTCATGAGATCATTATAAGGTGGATGATAAATGCATTAAAGTACTTTTATAATGCATTATATATAAAGGCTTTAAGTATAGTGCTATCTAATGTTCTTTCATCAAAAGCATCCTTTATAGAGAAGACAACATGACTATCCCATGATGCACTGCAAAAAGAAATGCCCAGAAAAGAAAAATCCAAATTGCTATTCAATCTCAAAAAGTATTGATAAAAACGTTATATAAAATAAACTGCTTTATCCAGTATTTGTGTGCTTTGTGTTTCTATCCTTAATTTCACTTTTATAACTTTTTCCACTACAATAATCTTCCAAGTTTCTCCTTTAAAAAGAGAGTTTGTGCTCCAAAGTATTCAAGATTTTTAACAATTTAAGTTGGCCATTTCATTCTCATTTTTATTTTCCATGCTCAAAAAGCCTTTTGTGAAAGTTTTGATGTAGTTTCAGGCTCTACTAGAACAGGTTTTCCTGCTTGAATGTTGATTATTCTCCTCATATTCTCCACTGTTGCGGCTCCTCTCTTCCCAGTCTGTCAGTAACGCTCTGTTTACTTCCTGTCTCTATGAAGCCCCTCCTTCTGAAAAGCACACTGTGCTCTGATTGGTCGGCTGGATCAGTGTGTTGTGATTGGTCGAGCGCTTCGAGTGTGTTTGGGAAATGCCCCGCCCCTTTCCATAACCGCCAGTTTAACACACTACTAACGAACACAACCAGGCCCCGCCCCTTTATTCTGCGCATTAATTATTATAATGAGGAATATTGTGGCGTGTTCGTTCCCGGGAGAAACTCGAGACTACAATGGAGGCGTTTCAGGGAGTTCAGAAACACTGACATATAGAGAATAACTCACGCCGGAGGGACTTCAGCATGGCCTTAATATTCAACCAATGTCTCGTTTAATATCACATCATGATTCATAGAGTAAACGGAGACCGAACATTTACCCTGGGTTATCTGCAAACACTCAAACAATCAATTAGAGCCAGTGTAAATCATTTCCATGTGTAAATGACGGTTCGCCTTGAACCGCAGCTGCGCTTCTCTAGAGTTCAGATGAGTTTGATGCTCGATAGCAAAACAACGTCAATTGCTTTGTTTGCTCTCATATCTCCATATCAAATCTATTTACAAACACGGATGTGTTCAGCATATGAGCGCTCGCACCTTGCCACTCTGAAATTGTATAGAAAAACAGATTTTATATTACGTACAGATATCAATTCATGTCTCTGCACTTTCAATGCTAAAATGCTAATGGCGGAAAGCTTTTGTGTGCACTTTCACGCCTGGTGTTTTTTGCATTATGCATGTCTGCTTCTGTCAATCCCATCAAAAATTCAGTATTCAGTAAAGGTCAACCTCAGTTTTCATCAGGGAATTTATATTAGGCTAATACGGGAACTTGTCCTGTGGATAATTGTATGGGTATTCATAACTCTGGTCCTTCATTAATGTTTATGATGGCTCAGTAAACATGAGCCAAACCCTATGGGCTCTTCACAGCTCGGCTTTCCATCAGAACGCCTCGTCCTCGAACAAACTGAATCTGAACATGACAAATCTGTCCGACTGCAAATATCATATTGTCCTCTTATAACCAGTGATTTATTTTTACTTTTATTTGTTTTGTTAGTTTAGTTACTGTGGTGTGAAGCAGGGCGGTGCCGAGAGATTAATATTAACCAAGATTAATAAATGTTGTTCATTCTTAGTTTATCTTAACTAACGAACCTTATTGTAAAGTGTTACCAAATAGCTGATTTAAACATTGCTGGAAACATTTGGGATAATGTAAGAACACACAAGTAAACAAAATATCTACAATTGGGTTACACTTTATTTTAAGGTGTCATTGTTACAGTGTAATTATATATTGAAGTAATGAGTAATATTAATAAATTACATGTACTTACTATAGGGTTAGGGTAGAATAAGAGTTGTTTAGGGTTAGTTACATGTAATTATGCATAATGTGAAGTACATGTAATATATGTAGCAAGGACACTGTAAAATAAAGTGTTTCCTAAAATTGTACTAGAGGTTTTTGGATATCCGACCTAATCCAAAAATCTTATATATTGTGCCTTTAACACAGGAAAAAAAAACTAAAATGTTGGTTAAAGCCTGTAATTCCTGGAAACTGCTTTAAAAGGACTTTTCTGTTAAGTAATGAGTAATATTAATTAATTACATGTACTTACTATAGGGTTAGGGTACGATTAGGATTTGGTTGTGAGTTAGTTGCATGTAATTACGCATAATTTACTACGGTAATGTAACAAGGAGACTGTAAAATAAAGTATTACCTAAAATTGCACTAAAAGGTTTTTGGATATCCGACCTAATCCAAAAATCTTAGATATTGTGCCTTTAACACAGGAAAAAAAACTAAAATGTTGGTTAAAGCCTGTTATTCCTGGAAACTGCTTTAAAATGACTTTTCTGATAAGTAATGAGTAATATTAATTAATTACATGTACTTACTATAGGGTTAGGGTACGATTAGGATTTGGTTGTGGGTTAGTTGCATGTAATTATGCATGATTTACTATGGTAAGTACATGTAACAAGGACACTGTAAAATAAAGTGTTACCTAAAATTGTACTAGGTTTTTCCTAATCCAAAAATCTTACATATTGTGCGTTTAACACAGGAAAAAAAAAAAAATTTTGTGGCAAACACACAAGGGTTAAAGCCTGTTATTCCTGCAAACTGGAACTGCTTTAAAATGCTGGTTAGACTCGCCCCCCCCCCCCCCCCCCCCTACTAAATAAACTCATATTTAGTTGTCAAATCGGTTTCTTCTCCACTTTTGGTGGATCAGCTAATGCCATTAGACGGCAGTGGCCGGTGGGAATCTGTGACTGATGACAAACGCTGCCCAAAGCCACGTCTAATATCAGCTCGCAGTGAAAAGGTCTCCGCTGAAGTCTGACGAAAGGACTGCCGGAAACACTGATACGTCTCAGACTTTGAGACGAAGCTCAAGCTGTTGCCAATTGATTGCCTTTATCACTGTACCAAGCGCCATCTATATCTAATTGCTGCTATGACTCTTCATAGAAACAGGCTTAGGCGCTGATAACGATAACTGCTCTTGTCCTAGAATAACCTTCGATATCAATATCCCCAGATTTAAGACTCATTATTAGATCTGCTACTAATGGATGGTCACGAAAACAAACCATTCTTACATAAACTACTGCAGGGGTCGGAAACCTTTTGTCATAATGTCCCATTTTTAAGTTTCTGAGGTCATCACTGTGCCACAACCCATTTATACCCCCCATATGTAGAATTACACATAAACATATTATAAATATTCATAATGGCAAACACAGAAATAGTACCGAAATGGGTAACACTTTACTTGAAGGGGTGTGCATATGACTGACACGACACCTTCATAATCATGACAGGACACATGAAGGAGGGTTTATGCATGTTTATGACAACTGTCATTAAGTGTCACTCGCTCAATTATAACATTTTTAATGCAAATATGACATTGTTTGAGATGTCTTTGTTATGACACCTTGACATAAACCAATACATCATAACCTGTCAGTGTCTTTGTCATGACAACTTGACATAACTAAGACAACACAACCTGTCATAAACATGACATAGCAGATTAATTATCAAACTTAAGAAAGCACTGAGCTTTATGGTTTAACATTACATTAAACTGTCATGTGGTTGGTTTTGACATTGGCTGTCATGAGGCCATTATAACATTTTGATGACAAATTCAATGTGTACCACTGTAGTTGAGGTCAAGAACAATATTCATGACACAGTTATAATGGCCTCATGACAGCCAATGTCAAAACCAACCACATGACAGTTTAATGTAATGTTAAACCATAAAGCTCAGTGCTTTCTTAAGTTTGATAATTAATCTGCTATGTCATGTTTATGACATATTTATGACAGGTTGTGTTGTCTTAGTAATGT